CCGCTATCCCGACATAGACAGCGACAGAAAAAGAAAGAGATGTACATTCTTCGATGTTTTTTTTTTTTTTTTTTGGAACCAAGCATTTTGCACTCCCCCCTTCCTCCCGTCCCGTCTTCCTGTCACTGCTTTGCCATCCGCTCCTCCTCATCTTCTCCCCTCGCCATCCCCCCTGCCTCTGCCTTCGGTCCCACTCACTGCCGCAGCGTAGCTGCAGCGGGTCCACTTGTACTTGTTTAAAAAAAGTAAGCTACATTCTTCTCCCAGTTTCACCGCACAACCTACCTACCACCACTCCTAATTATAGTCATACGCGGAACCCGGTAGCAGCCAGAACCGTGCTCATGAGAGAACATGCGGGGGCTGCTCCCGACCTGCAGGTGGGTGATACCGGCCAGGGGACAGCCGGAAGCATCAGGAACCATGCCAAGAGGACCAATCCCTCCCTGTGCCTCCCCTCAGGCCCCCTCTCCTACGAAAATCAGCAGACTCTGCTCAATGATAAATGTAAGGAGTTACAGTGTCCCACCTTTGTTATTAAAAAAAGCGGGTTGTTGCTTTCTCCCAAATCTTCCCGATCTAAATTTTGTGTTGCCTGTTAGCTGAACAGTAGGTAGCTACTGCATGTACGAAGAACTGTTAACTTAACTTAATCAAGAAAACAATCAACACGTCACAAGTTCAAATCATGCTGGACATAAAAACACTGGGCATCGACCACAGCTTTCCCTCTGAATCCTCTCGTTTGGAAGCAAAAAACAAAAACAATCAGGAAAGGCGAAATGGCTCAAAGACTCCAATGAAGGATCGATCACCTTCGATTCCATTGATAATCAGCCCCAGTAAAATGAACTGAATGAGATACGAGTCCGCTCAACCTCCAGCCACTGCTTCTCCCTTTCACCAGCAAGTCGACTGCATGGTTCTTAAGCCCTTTCTGCCTTGTCAGAGTCTTTTGCAAATCAGTCATTCCCATCCCATGTACTTCCACAATTATCGCACATTTTACCTACCTTCTTCACAGCTTTCAGAACTTTTTCTAAGTCATTGTTTGGCAGGACCGTCTTGTTTAGTATGAGCCACGTCAATCTAGTCTGTACATTGGTTCCTCTACTTACATCTCTCTCTCTCTCTCTCTCTCTCTCTCTCTCTCTCTCTCTCTCTCTCTCTCTCTCTCTCTCTCTCTCTCTC